CCGCCGCAACTAATTGTTTGGTCCAATCGCGACTCACGCCATGACCGACGGCATTAAGATGGACCCCATCTGCTCTGAAGGTCAAAGTACTCCAATAGCTCACCTTAGATGACGAGGTCACACCCCCTATCCCACATAAAATTTGCACATCTGTCTAGATCTACGCATCTAGTTTCTTGTTGAGTCGGAGATGCAATCTAAATTGTGTTACTTGTACTAGTACTAAATTTTAGGGTTCGTATCCGAGTCAAGACTGCGGGTCATTCTACCTAGGGTGCTAGTATGTATACAAGTTTCTAGTATGGGTATGATGTTGTAATAAAATGCAAGGTCATAATATCTAATCTATTCGCTAATTACTCCTTTTACTTTATTAATGAGCTTCTTGTTTGTCCAAACTTTTTTCCATGGAAATTGTTTCTCCAAACTTTGATACTATCTTGTTCAGGTTCAATGATTATGCCCTTTCGTATTGCTTTTCCTCTGGAGTGAATTTTGTTAAGCAACTAAATACATGTTTAATTTTCTTAATTGTTGTCGGCAGCTGATAAAAGCTCATCAACGGGATTTGAGCTAAATCAAGCAGTCCCGAACCAGGATAATGGGTCTCAAACCGAAGAAGTGATGAACTGTGAGGACAATGATAATGAACCAACGGTTGAGCAGTTGGCGTATGTTGCAAATATGATTAGATGTCTAAGAAAGCGGGAAGGAAAACTCTTCAACCCTGGCAACAATATGACGATATTGTTTGACATTCAAAAAGGTACTACTAAATGTAGATTATAATCTTATATGTTGAATTACATCTTAGCAGGCATTTTCCTGTATCACTAAGGAAGGAGAGATGACTTTTACCCGAAGCTCAGGCACGTCCAAGAGAAAGCAAGATGAACCGATTAGTCAGTGTACTTTTTACCCTATAAACACTTATTTTAAAAGGATATTTAATATAGTGTTTTTGTTTCCTTTACCACTGCATATTGCGCAAATGCGTTAATATTTTGGAATTGTGCAATACCTAAATATTAAAGTAGATTGATAACCTTGATCTATGATTTCTGTAGGGACAGTTGGATTTCACATATACTGAATTGAATGCATGTCCAGGAGGCTAGCATGAAGAAGTTAGACCTATGAAGATGCAGCATAAACAACCTAAACAGTAAAGAATGCTTTGGCAGAGGAACATGAGCCTATTGTTGTGAACGAGGCCCTGGCAGATCAACATGAAGAGACTGAAGGTATCATGGGGTGCGTAAAATATCAGCATGAAGAGGCTGAACCTACCAAGGAGGCCTAGGCGGAGTTTCATGAGGAGGCAGGAACTGGCACGGAGGTTGTGGCCGATCAATATGAAGAGCCGGAAGCTGGCATGGAGGCCCTGCCAGAGCAATATGGAGACCTTGAAGTTGTCAAGAAGGCCCTAGCAAAGCAGTAGGAAGAACTTGAAGCTATCAAGACGGCCCTTGCAGAACAGCAACAAGAACTTGAACCTGTCAAGAAGGCCCCGCCAGTGCACAAGGATGAACTTGAAGATTTCGAACTGGCCCTGGTAGACTACAATGAAGAAGTTGTAATGCCCTATTAGACTAAGTAAAGTTGTCATCAAGACAATTCGAGAGCAGCAGGTTGCAGTTGAAACTGACAAGTGTCATATTTTCTTTTGTGATACTTTGTCCAATGGTGCAATACTTTGTCCCATAGAGCAACTAGTGAAATTTGTTCCATTTTGGCAGCAAATTTAAATATAAAACAAATTGTCGAAGTCTACAAACTGTGACAGATATGGATACCATCACTAGCGTATGGAGCCACATGTAAGCAACCACGTCGCCCACCTCCAGTCCCATATGTAAGCAACCACGTCAGCAATTTATGGGCCCATAAGTCAGCGGTGTTGACTTGTCAAAACTGACGCCCGACTTATTACTGACGGGCACCATCGGTGATAAAACCTCAGCAGGGCCCAGCTGTAAGGTGCCACGTCCGTAGATTATGGGCCCGTATGTCAGAAACGTTGACTGGTCAAACATGGATGTTCGATGTTTAGTGTTGGATGTATCGTCCCCGAAAACTACGATAAGGGACGATTATTAGTATACAATGACAGTTCTAATGACATTTTTTTCCCGTCGCAAAAGATAGGTTCGGCGAAGTTTCTGGGTTCGTCACCTAAGATACGATCTTATGAGACCAAAAAAGCGGTATCGTCAAGATTTTATTTTCCATGACGGCGCCTTGGTGATGATGGGGGCGATGGCCAGAAAATGCCACGAGGGCATTTTCGGTGACGAAAAAGGGTTATACATGACACAAGTTAAACATCGCAAAATAGAGCAAATGCCCAGGCCACCTCGAGTCAGCTTGGAGCACAATATAAATGTAGCTAGCTACAACGATTGCTATAGTCAACACATGAATTGGGCCTCACGCCCCAGGCCGCAGGCTAGGGCTACCTAGGGTATGTCTTTGTCATTGCTCTGAGTGTCTCTCTTGTAATTGCTCTCATGTTGCTATGTCTTTTAAGCAAGTGATCGCCCTAAGGTTGCCTTAGTGTTCCTTATATTGGAAGAACACGAGCCAACCACATACGTAAGAACAAAGGCCTAGGCAACAAAGGTAGAAAGAAACAAAAAGACTCCAACCAACCAATATAGAGAAATAAAAACAATATAAAAAAACTGTGAGACATTGCCCATAATAAAGAGACATACGACACCGCTCGCCAATGCAAGAACTATAGCATCTGCGCACCATCGCAATAGGCATAACCCCCCAAAATTCCATCAAATCAAAGCGAAAACACATAGCTCAGAGACCATGGACCAAACATCGCATTTCAAGAGTTAGGATGACATGACCTCTACTCGTGGCCTAACTCCAAACTGAAACTAAAAGAAGGATCACAACAAAGGTGAAAACAAAGGATGGTTGATGAACTATTCTAAATGCAGTCACACGGCATGAAGTAGTTCAATACACATATTGATTGGACTCGTAACTTATTCTGGTGGCCTTGGTGATGTGGACCCCAATCTTGGGCTCCATGATGTCGAAACTAAACGTTCTTCTTCCCCTCCTTCATACTACCACGTCCGGAAATACTTGTCGGAGAAATATATAAAAATGGATATATTAAGAACTAAAATACGTCTAGATACATCCATTCATCCGACAAGTATTTTTGGATGGAGGGAGTATTTGGTAGGCTGGACTATAGGAAGTTCCTCAACTCATCTGTCATGGTACCTACACCACCAAAATTATCACCGACGAGGCCACAAGATCATTTATTTGTCGTGGCAGAGTTACACTGGTTCAAAGGGTCGACGGTGAATGAAAGGTGGTGAACCTGGCGAGCTTAAAGGCTTCGTTGAAACAATTGATGTCCAACGCGGAGGAGTGGATTATTTCCACACTCTACCCAATCTCGTTGATGCAAGGCGTGGAAGTGCGCAGACTCGAAGAGAAGTTATAACACCATCTTGCGGCTTGCTACGTCGCTGACGGCTGAGGGGTTTGGGACGGGAAGTTGCACCAGGGGTGCAGCGACATAACTGTCGAATGAACCAAAACCGAGCCAAATTCTCGGTGCAAAAAACAATGAAGTTACTCCATTTTTTCTGAGGGGTCGGTTACTCCATTGTTTCTGGCTGAGGATTTGACTCTTGATTTGTTCCTCCCAGAAAATATCGGTTCTAACCGAAACCGAGCCAAATTCTCGATGCAGAAAACAATACGTTTTGCATTTGTGGGGTACCTGACCAGTCATCACATATACTACTCCGAACCGTCTTTCTTTATTACTTGAAGAACCGAACCGATCGGTTCAAGTTAGGCCGAGCGCCCCGTCTGGTCAAATCTCATGCAATGACCAAAAAAAGGTCTCATGCATTGACCAAAGGGATCCATCAAGACCATGGTCGAGTTAAAATCATGAGGCAAAATCTTAAATTGTACACCTCTATTGATTGTGAGGGCTTCACATCATAGGGCATATAGTGAATTAAAGGATGATGATATTTCTTAGTACACCTCTCAACTCATCAGTTCACCACTTACAACTTGACAACTAAAGTTGGAGGTACGCTTCATTGGATCCTGCGAGCGGCAGGATTTGATTTCCTCAAGGTCCATCAAGGCATTTGTTATTCGCATGTCTGCCTCAAACGAAGATACCTACACGCACGACATACACGGAGTATAATTAATTTCGCATGATACTGAATGAAACCACGTTGACTCATTCTGACCGAGGAAGCAGTCAACCTGCGACAATATTATACTAGTCCGTTAACGTTGCTTTCGGGCACTGATGGAGAGCAATTCGTCGAAAGAACTAAAGTTGGATTACGCTTTCCGGCGCACGTACCTTGGACTCCACCGCGACCGCGACGTCCATGCACATGGCGCCGTCACAGCACCACGACCGGATCGCCGTCACCCGCTGCTCCTCCATGGCTTTGAGCCGCCGGAGCACCGCCTCAAGCACGCCAGCCATAGAAGAATACCCGCCCTCGCCGCGCACCTTGACCACCACGCCGCCGCCGGACGCGCCGTCTGATTCTGACGATCTCACCAGCTCTGCATTCCGCGCGTCAAGCCGGCCCTTCCTCCCCTCCAGCTCCCTGATGTAGTCGACCGCCGCGGCGAGGAGGCAGTTCTTGGCACCCTGCGTGCGTACGCGCAGAAGAGAAATCCTCGTGTCACTTGCATTTGCAGTTCAACGACCGGTTGATGTGATCAACGTACGTACGTTTGATGCCCGTCCCGGGGGCAGGAGGGCGTGGATGTCGGCGTAGCCCTGGCTGAGGCGCTCCCGCCGCAGCCGCTCCCGCGTGATGTGCCGGAACGCCGAGCTGCGCGGCACCTGCGGCTCGATCGGCTCATTCGAAGATGTCCCCTGGGGAGATGACTCAAGGCCATTCATGCGCCTCAAGTACTCGTCCATGCTCCGGTGGACGTTGGCTCTGCCCCGCGCGCGCTGCCGCCGGCCCGGGGACACGAGCAACGACGACGTCGCCGTACTACGCCGCTGGTACGGCGCGAAGGCGCTGCCCTGGTGCACCACCGCGGGCGGGGGCGAGAGGAGGCCCATCAGGCCCATCAGGCCGTCGTCGTCGTCCCGGTCGACGGAGAAGAACCACTCATTCATGGCTCAAGGACCAAGTTCTCGTCGGTGGCCTCTGGGTGCTCTGAGTGCCGAGGCTATGCTTGCACGCATGCCGCTGTTGCCGCTGTTGGTGGTGCCGCGATCGCGCGCGTGTCTGCGCTTATATACGCGCGCGTCCAGGAGAGGCGGCACGACAGAAAAAAGACCGAGCAGGAGAACAAGAGAAGAAAGGTCGTCACGCCCGCGGGTGGTTTGATTTGACCGGGCACACTGTTTGAAGGCTGGCTGGCTCAAAAGTGAAAGCAGAAGCAGCATGGCTTCTCACTGCAGCACTGCATCTGCATGGTGTGTACGGTGTACCTGTTTTCCATTTAGAAAGACGGCAAGTACAGTACCCGCGCGTAGTCTGTATGCCATACTCGGGTGTCCTCTGCCCCGAGGCAAAATCGGAAAGAACACATCGATCGGTCAGATAGAGGATTGAAAACTTCTACTTGGCCCTCCTTGTTTCGGCGTGCGGTGTATACGCACGATGCGTGCGTTGATTGCTGGCCGTAATGCGGTTCTGGGAGAGATGATCTGTATCCCGGAAGCTGCAGCCAGCACAGAACAGCGAGATGGTTTAGAGCATCTCCAACAGCAGTCACGCGACGCGTTAAAAAAGTTTGACAACATTGGAATCGTGAGTTTTTGCACGTCTCGGATCACTGGCTACAGCGGCCGCTGCAAAATATAGTGCACGCGGGCCGCTGCAAAAATTGCAAGTGCGCTCAGCACAAACAACATATGCAATTCAAACAAAATCAAGGAGATCAAACACAAACAAAGGAAGGCGAGCTTCGCCCCGCTGCCTCCCGGGTCGCTCTCGCGACTCCGGAGGCCCCCGCCGCCGCCAACAAGAGGGCGCAACCGTGCCGCCCAATCCTTTCTCGCCGTCTCCGGAGGAAGCCTAAGGGCAAAGCCCAGCGGCTGACGGCGGCGGCGAGGACGCACGCAGCCCGCGGCTGCGACCACCCTCCCCGCTCCATCTCCACTTGCTAGATGCAGATCCATCTCCGAGCGTGCTCCGGGGCCTGCTGCGCGCCGTCGCTCCTCCACACCTGCGCCGCCATCCTCCGCGTCGACCCTCCTCTGCTGGCGCTAGGTGAGCGGGCGGCCTGGCCCCTGCCGCCGGCGGCGCCCGCCGCTGCGTTTTGGCCTCCTGGCCGTTCGTTTCGGCTGGCCGGCGACGGATCCGGCGGTTCCGGGCGCGGATCCGGCTCTCCCTCGGCTCACAGCTCGATCCGGCGCCGGCGTCCCCTCCCCTCTACATCGACAACCCGTCCTGCGCCTCCACCCCGCTCGCCTTCCCCGTCCCCGCCCCCTGCGCGCCCGTCACGGGCGGGCTGCGGCTGGTCCGGTCGATCCAGCGTCGGACCCCTCCTCGCCTCCGCCTCCGCCGGTCCCTGCCGGGAAGAACCTCCACTCGGGTGCCCCCACCCTCTGTCCACCTCCGACGCCGCCCCACCTCGTCTCCACCCTCCTCACAGGCGGCCTGCTCCACTCGTCCTTCCTCGGTTCACCATCCGCCTCACATGTCCGTCTCGGTCATGTCCTCTGTCGCCCTTCGACTCCACTTGGATGGCGGCCCACCATGGACGGATGTGCTACGGGAGAAATCCCCGCTGACCTTGTCAGCTGACCACAGCGGTGCTACTCCAGCGTCGCTTACCCTCTTGGGGGCGTGGCTCATGTGCCACTCCTGTCTCTCGGTCCGGACTCGCAGCTCTCGGCTCTGCCCTCTGGGAATTTAATCGATTATGCTCCAGGCGAAAGCTCTGTGATGGCGTCATCCTCGGATGTCGTCCACCTTCTTGAAGGCGTCACTAGGGAGCTCCTTGCCGCCATTCATCATCCGTTGCCCTTGGGGGTTGGTCATCCTCTGCTCTGCTAGCTCAAGACCCTCTCATGCCTGTCGTCTGTTTTGGTGAGCTTCGTGCTCTTCGTGCTATCTCGGTTCATCTTTGCTCAACAACAACGCAACGATGCCTCCCCACCTTGCTAATCATGTCGGCTTGCTGTGGAGGAGTTTCCAGTTGAGGTTCGTGATGGGTCACTCGTTGATTGGTGCTGCTCCTCTGTTGTGCCAAGGGGTTGGTATGCACGCCTGTGTGGTGCGTTAGGATAGTTGTTTAGTGTTGGTATTGTGTTTCCTCGATGACACACCACTTCCACTCGACTTTTATGGTGGTGGTCTCTTGGCTTGCTGGCTAGGTAGTGCCTTCTTCGGGGCGTCCATATGCTCTCACCCTGTTTAATCTTTCCCCCCTGTGTGGTTTTTCGGCCCGGTTTCCCTTATAAACGGGGTCAATCTGTTAAGGTTTTCGATCCGGTTTTCCTTATAAACTGGATCAAACACTTGGCATTTTGGCCACTTTGAGCAATATATTCAGGTGGGGAATCTCTCCCCCCCCCGGTGACCGTCCAAAAAATAACACAAACAAAATAAATCAACAATAAATAGTACAATTTTATTATTACAACTCAAACAAATAATCTATCTTGCAACACAATAAATAGTTCAACAATGCAACATCAAACATACAAATCATGATGCTCTTTGTCGGTCATTCCATGCCCACCACTCCTTGATGAGATCCTTCTAAAGATTATCATGCGTTCGGCACGTCGAATGGCAATGATAGGAGGCAACAAATCAAGCCACCCTCGCAGCCCTCCGCCGCACTCGCACGGGATGTCCCAAGAGCTCATACTAAGAGTAGTCTAAATCTTGGCCATGCTCATTCTCGATGATCTTGTTGTGCATGATCACACAAGCGTGCATGATGTACCAAAGCATCTTTTGATCCCAAAATCTAGCCTATCCTCTCAGGCCTTATACAATGCTAGATGCTTAGGGAGGTGCTTAGAAAAAATAAACCGGGTTTTTCTAAAGCACTGGTGCCTATTTCTATAGAAGAGACGACAAATTAAGCGTCTACCCTGTAAAAATTAGCATCAGTGCTTAAGGAAAGCCTGGTTTATTTCTCCAAACACCTTTCCTAAGCACCTTGCATTGCACAGGGCCTCACAATGGCAAATTGAGCTTGGAGAATCCCAAAAGCTCTCTTCACATGTTTCCTAGCCGTCGCCTGACCATTGTGGAAATCAAGATTTTTCTTACCTTCCAGTTTTTTGAGTGGCTTCATAAATGTTTGTCACTTTGGGTAGATGCCATCCGCAAGATAGTAGACATAGTTGTATGTATGACCATTTGCTACAAACTGCACTGGTGGCAGTTTACCATTTGCAATCTTATTCATGAGTGGTGACCGATTAACAATGTTGATGTCATTCAAAGATCCAGGCATTCCAAAAAAGCACGCCAAATCCAAGTCTCTTGATCGGCCATCGCTTCAAGGATTATAGTGAAACCCTTTTTTAGCCGTGGAATTGCCCATGCTATGCCTTAGGCCAGTTCTTCCAACTCCAATGCATGCAATCTATTGAGCCAAGCATACCTGGGAACCCGCGAGCTTTGTTCATCTCCAAAAGCCTTGCGGCGTCTTCAGCATTGGGAGATCTCAAATACTCCGGGCCAAACAGTTGGACAACTCCGACTGCGAAGCGCTTGACACACATGATGGCTTGATTCTCACCCATGGCCAACTAGATCAGCCAGAATACCGTATGCCAACATACGCAAAGCGGTTGTCACCTTTCGAAAGGTGCTATGCTTGTGTGTAACATCCCAATTTTCAATTTGGATGTTATACATAGATCATCATATGCATATCATATTTATTCTTGCTTTTGGTTGAGATCCTAGAAATCTTAAGCAACTCAAGGACCCAAGGAAAAAGTTGGGGGTTTCACAAAGTTCATATTTGAATTTATTTCAAATTTGAGGGAAGGATCAATTTGATTTTATTTATTTTCTCCAATTATTTCCAATAATAGAAATATATGAGAGAAGATAATATGACTTCTTCAATCTGAGTGAAATATTGGAGAAATAATTTTAATATCAAATTATGTTCTATTGATATTTAATTTGCTATTTTATTTCAATTAAAAAATATTGCATTTTTGGAAATTGCATCTTAGTCCAGAAAAATATTCATCTTGTCCTAAATATTAAGTTTGGACGGTGAAAATTGTTTCTAAATTTTTTTAGATTTTTCTTTATATTTTATTATGACTTTTCTTTCGGGCAATTTTTTTTAAAGTTCTTTCTGCACGACTAGGTCGAAGGCCCAGCCGAGCCGGCCCAGAAGCAGCGCCGCTGCCTTCCCCGTGCGGGAGTCCGCCCCGCCGCCGCCGGCCGAGTCTGAGGCGGGTACGCCTCCCGTGGCCGGCCCCTTCCCCAAGACGAGGCCGAGCCCCCCCTTAAATAGCGCGTCGCCCCGCCGCCTCTCCTCCACACCGCTGCCGCCTCCCGCCAACAGCAGCAGCAGCAGCCCGCGGCGCCACCGCCGCACACCCGCAATGCCGTCACCTAGTCCCGCGCCGTCGCCCCGCCGCCTCGCTGCCGACGCCGTCGTCCGATCTCGCCGTCGCCGCCGATTTTCTCGTGAACCGGTAAGACCGGCCGGAACCCCTTTTTTTCGTTTTTTTGTCGGTTCGGTGAGATAGATCGGTTTTCTTAGGGTTTTTCTTAAGTAACGAATGTCCGTTCGTTCATTCGTTTTAACGAACGGTTTTCGCCATATAAGTTCTGTTAGCGAACGTTCGCGCAGTGGGATTTTTCTTTTTAGTTTATTTTCAGCCAGGGGCCTATCCACGAATAGTTTTTTCGTGATTTAGCCCCTTATCTTTAAACTAGCATAACTTTTTACTCGTTTATCTAAATTAGATGAAACCAGCGCCTAAATCTTCGTCTCGCTCTTCTCTTTTCAGTTAACCAACTTGAACATGGATTTGGTACTGTAAAATTTGAGTTTAGTCCAGATTAGTGAACGATCTTGTTTTGTTCGTATTTTGAGTTTCGTTTCTCCGTTTGAGTTCAATATTTTGGCAAACCATAGCTAAACACATGTACCCACTGTCAAGATCTAATCCTC